CGACAAGGTTTTGTCATCATCAGGTACCAGAGGACAGCGGGGACAGATGACAAAACCTTGTCGAAACGTTGTACATTTGCTGTTATGTTAAACTTATATTAAAGTTTTTCTTCATTACCCATTCAAGCCGTCTCCAGCCATTATTATTAGGAGTCTTACTTTTTTCTAAAGCAAAAAACACAATTTTTTAGTAACTTTCAACGTAAAGTAGACTACTAATAAATTTGTTTATAACTTACTCAGTTGTTACATTTGGTGACAAGAAACATTTTAAAACTATAAAAATTAACCTACTTATACATTTCGGTATTCCATTTTCATCCTTCCCACATGCTGCATTAGGAGGGCAATCAACATCGCCACTAGGACACTCTCCCGGACTACGACCTGGGAAAAACCAAAATAGCTTTAAGGAACAAATACCTATAAATAACAGTTTTCATGCTACTGATACTTTTAGTTTGTAAAATAATATTAAAAATTATAATACACTTCATTCAATGTAGTTTACCAACACTGACACAGTTAGGTTGATTGTTTCTTTTGAATTTTGCACAAAGCTACACTAGGGCTATCTGCACTAGCCCTCCCTTAATTTAGCAGTGTAAGACTAGAGGGAAGGCAGCTAGTCATCACCACCCACCGCCAACTCTTGGACTACTCTTTTACCAACGAATAGTGGGATTGATCATCACATTATAACGCCCCCACGGCTGAAAGGGCGAGCATGTTTGGTTTGACAGGGATTCGGACCCGAAACCCACAGATTGCGAGTCGAGCGCCCTAACCATGCAGGGCCAAGTTAGAGTTATAGCTTAAATATTTTGCTATATGGCTTTGAAATAATTAATTTTGTGAACATATCCACAGAAATGAGATGTAGGTTACTAGAATTACCGTGAATAAACTCCTCCATCACACAAAAGGAAATGTGAGGATTAAAGATGACATAAAAATGGTACTAAAACAAACTAAGCAGGATTGACGTTTGTTGCAGCTTGTTTGTGTCAGAGAAAGAAATATGAATAAGCAATATATATATATATATAAAACTTCCATTACTACAAGGGTTATTTCACACTACTTACATTCCGTGTATCCATCTCCAATATCACCATCTTTGCAGCGACAGAAATAGCTTCCTGGAGTGTTCTGACAGATAGCCGTTGGATGACATGGGTTTGTTAGGCATTCATTGATATCTGTTTTAAAAACATTTTGTTTTAACGCCACATACAAATTAAACTGATACAGCAAAACAAAAGTGGTGAAAATAGGTGATGAAACTTTTGTGTTATTCAGAATTTATGTGCAATAAATATGGAGTAGGTTTAAACCATGATTTACAGTTACATCTGTTTACGACACTATGCACGTACCTTCACAACCTGTTGGAGTAGGTTTAAACCATGATTTACAGTTACATCTGTTTACGACACTATGTACGTACCTTCACAACCTGTTGAAGTAGGTTTAAACCATGATTTACAGGTAAACAGATGTAAGACACTATGCACGTACCTTCACAACCTGTTGGAGTAGGTTTAAACCATGGTTTACAGTTACATCTGTTTACGACACTATGTAAGTACCTTCACAACCTGTTGGAGTAGGTTTGAACCCTGGTTTACAGTTACGTCTGTTTACGACACTATGTACGTACCTTCACAACCTGTTGGAGTAGGTTTAAACCATGATTTACAGTTACGTCTGTTTACGACACTATGTACGTACCTTCACAACCTGTTGGAGTAGATTTAAACCATGATTTACAGTTACATCTGTTTACGACACTATGTACATACCTTCACAACCTGTTGGAGTAGGTTTAAACCCTGGTTTACAGTTACATCTGTTTGTTTCACAGAACTGATTCAAATGACAGTCACTATCACTTCGGCAACCAACTTAAGATAGAAAAGAAAGAAAATCAATTAGTTGTCATAAGTTATTATTCACAAACCAATATTACAACAATTACAGTGTGTCAGAGCTTTGAAAAGATTCAAGTTACTGAACTAGATATCTATTAGGTCCACCAATAAGATGAAGTGTATTAAAATGTTGTCTCTAACAGTAAAGTAGAACATCCAATTTATGTTAAACAATACATTCAACACACCAACTTACATAGAATAAACTAAGTTACATTTTATTCTCCTAAACTGTACAGAATTCATCGAGTTCTTCAACTTAAAACTCTTTATGGAAACAAATTAACTTCAATACCTCTGCAATGTTGGTTAATACAAATCTCTCCTGAGGGACAGTTGCTGTCACTGGTGCAAATAGCTGAAAAAGTAACATAAAGATATTAATTCATACAATAGAATGATATCTATGTGAAAAGAAACATATATTAAAACCTGTTTTTAAAGTTATTTCCTTGAGAATTAACGTAGTAGTCCCTAATCAGTTTGTATACAAAACTCAAATTTTACAAATTTTAATGGTTTTACTGGAAATACATGAACAGGTGATAAATACAAATTACAACGGATATTTATTTTCACACTAATATGAAGTGTATGAATTTCAAATGAAGTAAGAATTTTTCACCTACTCATACCAACAACATAAAGCAACCAGTAAAACTTGGCACCCACCTATACCAATACGAAAGTGAAGTAATGAGTAAAGACTTGGCAACTACCATTACCAACATTGTTAACAAATAAAGCAACCAGTAACAAACATTGTTAATAATAAATAAACAATCAGTAAAAGGTTGATACCTACCCATACATACATTGTTGATACATCTTTCACCATCAGCACAGTTATCACAAGGAGCTCGACAACGTTCATGAATACAAACCATCGGTGGTGGGCATGGTCTTTCCGGAGAACAGATGTGAGGGGTACGTTTGCAGCCAAGGATTGGCGAGGGGTTTCCTTCAAATCCTGGAGGACAAGTACAACCAGCTTTATGATTTCTTACTTGACAGATAGCATTTGGTCCACAAATACCTCGAATTTCACAGGGGTTCTTACATCTATTCTCAATGCAGGCTTCATTCAAAGCGCAGTCACTGTTCTGGCGACATCCAATCTGACAAAAGCCTTTTTGTATACATGCTTCTTTCGGGGGACAACCGGAGTGGACAAAGCAGGGTGTCACACAACGATTGTTGATGCACTTCTCTCCTAAGGCACACTCACTATCTCGACTACAGAAGAGCCTACACTGGCCATCAACACAAGCTTCATTTGGTCCACACTCTTCAGCTGCTAAACAGATATGAGAAATTCTCAAACATCCTACAATTGGCTCAGGGTTGCCACGAAAACCAGGAGGGCAGCTGCATAATGCTTTATGATTAATGACCTCACACACAGCATTTGGTCCACAAGAAATTAGATCACACGGGTTTTTACACATACGTTCTCCAGATTGATCAGGAAGGCAAGCAGCATCAGGTGGACAGTCAACATCTCCATTGGGACAAGAGTTTGGATGACGGCAGCCTTCAGTGTATGGGTCTCCAATGTAAGTAGGTTGACATTCACATCGATAGGAACCTGGGGCCTCGAAACAATTGGCCTTAGGGTGACAAGGGTGAGAGTCACAGTATCTGATTATTTCACAGCCGTTAGTGTATGGGTCCCCTGTTTCTCCTGGCCGGCAACGACAAATAGCTTTGTGGTTTTGGACCAGACACAAAGCTCGAACACCACAACCATTCACACAGGGGTCTATAAAAAACAGAAGCACAAATGTTTCAAGGTGAGTGATATACTCTTAAACTCTGTTATGTGCTTAAAAACAATTAATAAATAATTATACCAAAATTACTGTTATACAAAAATACAACACACACATGTAAACAATGTCTGTTTATCATTTTCCATTCAATGTAATAAATAAAACTCTTACCAAAGCAGTAGTTTTGTGGGGCACATGCTCTATCACTTGGACAATGGTCATCCGTTAAGCATTCCACTACAAAAAACAAAAAACGTTTACAACAAGATCTGTAATATTTGGACTTCTCCTTCTATTCTTCTTGATCTCAAAACAACAGTTCAGACTTGGTGCTGAGTCCTTCATCAGGCATGGTACCCTAAACATGATTTGTCATCAAAAGATCAAGGAAAATGGCAGAAGAAGTCCAAACAAAACTCTGCCTTCATGGTGAATACACTATTTGAAAATAGGATAATAAATCATTTTAACCAAATAGTTCATGTACCTATGAAAAAAAAAAATTAATCTTAACTATTTCAGCAGAAAAATAATTTTTCCTTCATTTTAATAAACATTTTTGGGAAATTATATTGACAGTTGAATTTAAGCTATTAAACATGAAAAACCTCAGCATGTAATTGTTTAGAGTAATGCATTGTTAAAGCACTAATACAATCTATTTAGTAAGGGAGGTGAATAGGTTGCTCAAGTATGTTGACTGGAGACACAGATGAGCAAAAAAGTTTTATTGTTACTGCTAACCTGTTAACATTAGGTTTAACACTAACTTGTAACCTTTAGGCTTAATTCTTCATCTGTAACGTTTAGGTTTACTGCTAGCTTGTAATCTTTAGGTTTGCTAATAACTTATAACCTTTAGATTTAATTATTCACCTCTAACTTTTACATGTATTACTAACCTGTAATCTTTAGATTTAATTATTCATATGTAACATTTAGATTTGCTGCTAGCTTGTAATCTTTAGGTTTAAGTGTTCACCTGTAACCATTTGATTTCATTGTTAACTTGTAACCTTGTGGTTGAACCTTTAACCTTTTAATTGATTTGTTTATCTTACTTTCTGGTTTAGTTGCTAATAATAGTTTGCCTTGTTTAAGGACCAAGTTACAAAAATTCTAACAAATGTACCATATTAGCAACAAGTTACCTTTTTGACAACCCCTGATAAAATCATGCGGATCGCCTACGAAGAGGCCAGATGGACACTCACAGCGAGCTTTGTGATTATGAGCTACACATGCTGCATTTGGGCCACACCTTATTTTTTCACAAGCATCTGTAACAGATGGATAAAAATTAACATCTGATGTCAACTTCCTAATGTCATCAAATATATTTACGTCATTGTTTCAAGTCTATCTACTCTCCATAAAAGTTGTGTACAAAAATCATAGAAAGTATAAAACAAATATCAGGGGATTGAAACACCTTCTATTCACTGACTCATGAAATTGGTAGGGAAAAAATTAGCACATACTAGGTCTCAAAACTGTAAATATTCTTGTGTATGTATATACAAGTTGAAAGAGCTCTTACATGTCCATAATTACATCCAAACATAAATGAGTTTGATAACCGGATTCGTATATCATTTCTTTTAGCTATGGTTATATGCTAGAGAAGTTTTCATCACTGGCCACAAGCACACTCTCCTCACTTCAAGCAAGGAGTCCTGTCACAACACGTTTTTCAATGCACAAGCCAGGTAGTACATAGACATTCCTTATTTAAAACCACAGGAAGGTAACAAGTCATCAACAATATACTACTATTTTTTATACAATGATTTAATTATTAATTCATTACTTCTATGTATATATTGTTTTAACCAAGTTCCCCCCCAGTGTAAATAAAGAGGGGATTACACTTTTAAGATAAAAAGGTGAAGGTCAAGACAGCTAGTCGCTGCTCGACACTATAGCAACAGGGCAAACAAATGCAAACTCAGACTAGCGTCAACAACCTGGTATTTAACTGAACAAATTAAGCAAATTAATTCAATTTTTTAATTCCCAAAATAGTGCAAGATTAATTAGGTTCTTTATATGAAATAAAGGAGAATATTAACAGGGTCTTAAATGAAAAACAAAATTTGGTGAGTTAAGTTTTCAATTATCTTTAGTATTCCCTCTTCTTGAGAAAATGAATAATTATTCCATGAAAATAAAACTTACCAATACATCTATAAGGCTGGAGGTCGTGACGACACTGGTGGCTGTTTGAAATACAATCCTCATCAATCTCACACTCATTGGGATTAATAGCTGAAACAAGTGAAGCAATAGTAAAGTAAATTAATAATTTTAGCCACATTTAATTTAATCTTAGATTGACTACTTACTATGTACTTTAACACCACAGTGGTTTGTTTGTTTCTTTTGAATTTTGTGCAAAGCTACACGAGGGCTATCTGCACTAGCCATCCCTAATTTAGCAGTGTAAGACTAGAGGGAAGGCAGCTCGTCATCACCACCCACCGCCAACTCTTGGACTACTCTTTTACCAACAAATAGTGGGATTGACCATCACATTATAACGCCCCACGGCTGAAAGGGCGAGCATGTTTGGTGTGACGGGGATTCGAACCCGTGACCCTCAGATTGCGAGTCGAGCGTCCTAACCACCTGGCCTTGCCGGGCCCTTTCTAGAAGTATGGGGTGGTTGTTACTGTCAATTATACAATCGAATACAAGACTCGGGTGGATTACTTACACCCGCTTCTAGCCGAAATTCGCATGTGCTCGTGTGCATGTACTTGTAGGTGACATGTAGTTTTATCAATATAGATAGCTTTACAGCCACCACAAGTGTATTTATATACGACCGACGATGTTTTTTTGGTATTACCACGTTTTTAATATTTATTATACACATTTTGTTTTCCACCTGATGAAATCAGTTACAAGGAAGCCTAACTGATAAAATATAATGAACGGAAAGTTGTACCTTATCCTTAACCCTAATCAGTTTAGGTCAGAAGTTTTTTAACAGTCTGGGATCCCCCTTTTGCGAGGGTGAACTTGTTCCACCCTGCTTCGTTAGGCAACTAAAAATCAGAAAAAATAACAAACGATAGAGTTCTACCCATTATTCTGTAATATTAAAACAATCGTTCACAAAAATTGTACAATGCCAGAAAAGAATGGACCGGGCGTGACCCAGAAGTTCGCGTCCCACTGACACCAATTCACCCTCCCTCCCATGGTTCACTATACAAGTGACACAAAAATCCCTCTATTAAATTCCTAGAAATAACATTCAACTCCAAACTTTCGTGGACTAACCATATTAATAAAATATGTTAAAATATGAACCAAATATTATGCTATCTAAAAAAAGATTGGAGGCTACCAAAAAGGATGAAACCCCGAAACCATAGTACACATCTATAAATCTTACATCAGACCCCTAATTGAATAGGCTTGTATGATTCTTTGTAACATGTCCAAACCATTATATGACAAAATACAAACACTATAAAATCTTGCATTAAGAACAGCTTACAGATTACCCATATACACACCATTAGTATACCTAAACTCAGTTAACCTAATGGTTGTGTGTATATGGGTATATTACCTAAACTCAGTTAAC